GTCTGACGCGTCTGCCTCCGCGACCCGAAAGGAGAAGCGGCGATGGAAGATGAAGATGAAGAAGATGAACAAAACCTCATGAATTAATTAAATGATTTTGTTGTTTACACGCGATCATGTTTTCTTGGCATCTTCCAAAACCGATCTCTTGCAATCTTTGAAAACGTTCTCAGTCGAGTGACGTTGTCAGGTGGTATGCAAATACAAATTACAGACGCAGATGGACAAACTGAAAACTGTAACAAGTCCAAGTACGAAACTCTACTGAAACGGGTTAGTCAATAACTTGCCAGTTAGGCGGAATAAAGAAGAATATAGTGTTAACTCAAGAAAGGAAGCCTCTGACTTGCAGACACTAATATTCCATCTACAGGTTTTACATTACGAATATGCAAGGTAGCAGGGCAAGACCATATGACTGGTGTAGACTGGTGTTTCTGCTTGCAGTGTAATTCATACAGTAAAAAAAGTTTGTAATGGCTAACTTGAACGAATGAAAGAAAGTTTGCTGCATTAATGGAATTACCAAGAAACCAAAAAACACGAAACCAATGTACATCCCCAGAAAACAGAATTTCACTTGCATGAGTATTGCTAACGAAAAAAATCAGTGAAGAAATAACCATGGGAGAAATCAGTACAGAACCACGAAGCAAACTTAATATAGACAAACTGGAAGAAGAATATATCACCACAAATTCAAGTCACTTTTTAACGTCCGTGAGATTACGTACAACATGCGCTAGGGTTGAGATTATAGATCCTCGATAACAGTTCCCACTGATATACTTTGACGAAGCTGATGAGATTTCTGACAGACATTGCTTTGTCATGCAATGGATGAGTGCCATTACGCAGGATGCTCTTACCTACTCGAATGTAATGAAATGTAGCTCAATTAACTACATGCCTAGATCGATTATTGGGTGAAATGACACTTATTCCAGAGATTTGTTTAAGTGATCACCTCAATGTCTTAAAGTCACAGATCAGCAAGCCTGGAAACATGCCTCATGATAGATACGCATAAAGTAGCAGAATACAGGAAAAGGCAAATTTTGTAATGGAACTGTACAGTGCATGCAGGTTTCTCAGACGCTTTACATAAAATGAAGCTTTACAACACCAGGTCTCCAGTGACTGTACTTATGGGTGCCAGGTAAAGTATGATGACAAAATGTCATCTAAGTATTTGACAAATCTAGGTGACTAGGCT